CAATAACTTTTGGACTATGTAGTGGTTGTTCATGTTTATGTCTTAGATTTTCTTTGGTCCAGTAGCGACAGTTTTACGTGACCATTTAAGTTCGCTTCGTCACTAAACAGAACATTTTCAAACGTTGGGAAGCGTTGAAGCATTACATTTGCAAAATTCTGTCGGAGAGGATAATCGGTAACGTTCTGTTTTTGAACTAACTGAATTTTGTAGGCTGTTAGATGTAAATCTTGCTTCAGAATCTTCTGTAACTACGATTTTTTAATGTCAAGTTCTTGACTACATTTGCGAAATGATTGAGACGGATTTTCACGCACTGACACTCATTTCTTCAATCGTTTGTTCGATTGGAACATAGCGCGGGCGACCTGGATTGTGATTTTTGCAGTCGAACGGGCATTCTCGAACATTCGAGTCCATCTTCTGATGGTATCATCCTTTGGTGCATTCCGTACAGTAAATTTTGCCCATTGGGATAATAGGCGTGTATGCAAAAAGCACTATGGTCTCCCGGGTACACTTCCATGGTCATTAAATTTCCAAAAAATAGTGAAACAATCTATCCCTATTGCACCCGTCCGAACCGCGCCGTTACAAGGACAGCGCACATACAAATACCCCCTACTCTTTTTGGACACCTTGTACAATACAAACATATTTTACATCTATAGACTTAAAGCTATTGAATCGACCTCGTATATGTTTTTATTTATAATAAAACTTGCGATTAAATAACTAGACTTGGACTTATTTATTATTATTCAAACTCACTGATTCCGAAAAAGTCTAAAACGACATAGAAAGTCGAAATCGAAAATGCCGTGATTTAATCGTCTAATGGATAAATTCACGTCGCTTTTACTCTTAAAGATTAATAAAAAAAAAAGAAGAACTGCAGCAGAAAACATTTTGTCCCTAGTTTATTTTCTGCGTTAAAGTTTATATTTTTAATTCACTTCGCACCTCCAACCACATCTGATGTTACGGCCCGTTAATTAATTCCTATTTTTATCCTCCCTCTAAGTATAGATTCTGGTTTCACAAGACATCCGCTTTAAACAAACATTGAAAATGGTTTTTACTTGATTCCTCAAAATAAATAAACGAAGAAATTTGGGATTTTAAAGGGATTGCAGAAAATTTTTATGATAGGTATATTTTACAAAGTTGCACAGGATAGTGATTTTGCCGGGTACCTGGTTCATGTCTTCCTTCGGGCGGACTTTACATTAAACATATTTCATTTACTTTCTCTAGCGATGTGCCCCTTCCAATGTCTTTGATGCGCGCTGGCAAAATCGTAGGTAGGGAGAAAAAAGCTCATTATACTCTCGACTCTTGTTCATTAAACATACTTTTTCATACAGTACCTGCCAAAAGTTTTGTTCAATCATGAATAGTAGTGCGAGTCGAAAACAAGCGTTAAA